CTCTCCCAGGGCTGTTGTTAACCAGTGATGAGGGTTACTCACTGCAAGCTGACCCATTTCTGCCCAACATGTGACTCTTTGCTGTGGGGCAAAGTCGCCTAGGTAAGACTTTTTGTAAAGATTTATTTTTGCATGCAGAACTGGGGTATAGGCCAGAGGTACAGGGGCAGGGGCAGTGAGAGGGTTCACCAGAGATAGTGTGGGGAGCAGAACAGGAAGATGGACTGAAACACACTGCTGAGGGGAGCAGCAGGCGAGACAGAGGATGTCTGCTGTGCTATGTGGGTCACCTTCCTGGCCAGGGATAGAGCTCATGCTGCAGTGGCTGAGTTGGCAGCTAGCTTGAAGTGCTGCACTTTAACCTGTTGCACCACTAGGGAGGGCCTAGGCAAGACTTTCTTAGAGTCACACCAAGTGTCAATTTGCAACCATCCTTCTCCCTCCTTTAATAGGAGCCCAACTTATATTGCCAGGACCCTTCCTCTTTTCATCCTTCGTAAGAATTTCCCTCAGCACATCTCTTACACATCTAATTGCATCCTTTAAAAAAAGATTTATTGGCCCTCCCTGGTGGCGCAGTGGGTTAAAGCACAGCACTGAGAAGCTAAAGCCACTTCTGCATGAGTTCGATTCCTGCCTGCCCCGGAGGTGATCCACATGGCGCGGCAGACCTCTCCTGATCCGCCCGCTGCTCCCCTTCGTCTATCTGCCTGTTCTGCTCCCCACTCTGTCTCTGGTGAAGCCTCTCGCTGCCCCTGAGCCTCTGCCTGTACCCGTTCTGTATGTTATTTATGTATGCATACAGAACTGGGTTATAGGCCAGAGGCTCAGGGGCGCGAGAGGCTTCACCAGAGACAGAGCGGGGAGCAGGATAGGCAGACTGATGAAGTACACTGCTGAGAGGGGCAGTGGGGAGACAGGAGGGGTCTGCTGCGCCATGTGGATCAGCTCCCTGGCCGGGGATCAAACTCATGTTGCACTGGCTACCGACAGCTTCTTATTGCTGAGACTTAACCCCGTGCCACCAGGGAGGCCCCTCTAATTGCATTTTGATATCCACTCTGTGAGAACCCAAGCTGCCTAGTGGCAGACGGGACATGCCAGACCAACTGGGAAAAGTTGGATGTTGGAGACCCCTAAGGCTCAAAGTGCTGAAGCAAGGAAAGTCTCAAGGTCATGACTGGAAGACTGGTCAACATGGGCTGGAAGTCTGCCCCATCTCGACTGTGATGTCTTCCTTGTACCAGCAGAGCTAAGTTTAAAGATGAAACAGGTGTGGGAACAAGACAACCTGATAACACAGATTAATGTTGATACCAAGAGAACACATTCTTATCTTGTAACTAACCTGAAGGGGAGGGAGGCAGCTGTCTCAACAAAGAGTAGCACTGGTGGATGCTTGAGCTTGGACTGAGAGGCCTTGTGTCTCCCGTGTCCCCCTCTCTATCACTTCTTATTCCTTGGTTCTTTCGGATTCTTCCTCAACCCTGATCACTAGAGCTGGCTCTGGGCAAGTGGCCCCTGAACGGGGACCTGAGGGAGGATAATTTCCACACACCTGGTGGGGGAACTTGTGGGAAAAGAGTCCTGATCCCAGCTGGTGGCTTAGGGGCCTCTTCGGAACTCTCTGGGTAACAATGGGACAAAGTGAAAACATTTTATCAGCTTGGTAAAATGCCTGCAGGCCCAGAATGTGTGAGTTTTCAGTTGAGACTTCCCTTGCTTCAGCACTTTAAGCCTTAGGGGTCTCCAACAGTGGGTGTAGCTCTTCAATAAATGGAGTGAAAAAAATAATGGTTCTCCATGTGAAAAACTATGAAATCTCCATCCTTTTCATATACAAAATTTACTTCCAGGTAGGCAAATACCAAACATAAAGTTTCTATAATTTATACCCTGAGGTAGGGGTTAGTATTTCTAAATAAGACACCCTCACACATAACCCTCACCCTCTTTAAAAAATTCAGACTTTTTGTTCACTAAAGGCATTTAAAAAAGGAAAACAAGTAATAAAATGGGAGAGGATATTTACAACAAACTGGGGAAGAATTAGCATTAAGAACACTTAAAAATCAACAAGCGGCCCCCCTGGTGGCGCAGCAGGTTAAAGCACAGCACTGAGAATCTGGAGCCCTTTCCGCATGAGTTCGATCCCGGCTGCCCCGGAGGTGACCACATGGCGCGACAGACCTCTCCTGACCCGCCCACTGCTCCCCTTAGCAGTGGACTTCGTCGATCTGCCTGTTCTGCTCCCCACTCTGTCTCTGGTGAAGCCTCTCGCCGCCCCTGAGCCTCTGGCCTGTACCCCAGTTCTGTATGCACAAATAAATAAATCTTTAAAAAAAAATCAACAAGTACATGTAACTTTAAGAGGGAAAATATATTCAGCACACATTACTCCCCCTGTGACTACCTTTCTTGTATTGATGTAGCACATTTGTTGCCACTGATGAAGCAACCTGGATACATTATTAAAGCCCATAGTTTGCAATAGGATTAGCTGCAGTCCTGTGGGGTCCACTATTGTAGTAAAGTACAGAACAGTGACAACACTGTCATCAAGCCCCACGCTCCACTTTGTCAACTCCCTCCCTCCTCATGGCAACCTCTGACTTCAGAATGTCACAGTTGGGACTCATATACTACATAACCTTTTGACTGGCTCCTTTGCAATTTGCATTTAAGACTTCTCCATGTCTTTTTGTGGCCTGAGAGCTTCTTTCTGTCATTGAGTAATATTCCATTGCAAGGATGTACCACAGCCTACCTATTCATTTATTGAAGGTCACCTTGAGTGTTTCCAATTTGGGCCAATTTTGATAAACCTACTATAAATATGTGCAGATTGCCATGTGGACAAACCTATTTAATTAATGTGGGAAAGTACCGGAGCTAATTTTAGCTTCCTAAACAACTGTCAAAATGTCTTCCAAAGTGGCTGTACCATTTTGCATTCACACTAGCAAACAGCAAGAATTCCTGTTGCTTTACATCCTTGTCAGCATTTGGGTTTGTCAATAGCCTGGATTTTAGCCACTTTCAGAGCACAGTAAGTTAAAAATAATTCAAAAAACATATACCTACACAATACTTTTTAGGTATATATATATATATGTATATAGATATGTATTCATATCTGTATATAAACATATTTTACATAATATGTATTTTAAATAAGATGTTATATACATGTATAGAGAGGGAATAAAGCTTTGTAAAGAGGAAAACAAGGCATGGTAAAGACAGGACACAGAATGGTGGTTATTCCAGGTGAAGGGAGGAAGGAGGATGAGTTAGTGTGTATAAGAAGGAAACCATACATTTACTGGTACAATACTATCATTGTAACTTTTTTGGGCAGAAGTTTCACAGTCGTTATTATTTTATTAAAAGTAACTAAGTTAATAAGGCAGACATGGTAGATTGAATCATGGCTCACCAGGGATGCCTGCATTTTAACCCCCAGGACCAGCGAAAACGTTATAGTATGTAAAAGAGACTTCACTGGTGTGATTAAGAGTCCTCATAAGTAAAGGCCCAGAAGGATCAGTTAGAAAGAAGGGCAGAAGCACAGGTATAGAGGGGAAAGGAGGCGCTACACAGAGAAGGGGTGAAGAGCCAACGAGAGCAGCAGCCTCTAGAAGCTGAAGAAAGCTGTTCTCCCCTAGAGTCTTCAGAAGGGAATAGTGTTGCCAATATCCAGTGAAGGGATTTCGGACTTCTGACCTCCAAGAGCTGGGACATAATATATTCCTATTGTCTTTCAACCACTAAGCTATAGAAAGCTCAAACAGTGGGCCAGACATGGATCAATAATGAACTGGACTATAAATTCAGTTCTATACCTACATCCAATAAAAGAAAAAAACCTGAATGATTCTTCATTAATTGGAAGACAAAGTTCAAACTCCTCAGTTTAATGTAAATCTTTCAAAACATATTATAAACCTCCCTCTCCTTAGGACATTATAGCGCTTTTGCTGCCAGGCTCACTCGGCTCAGACAGAGGGTTCAGGATTAGGATTCAGTGCAGTGACCAGCGCCTAGCAGAATGGCACATCAAAGAATGTAGAACCAACTCTTAGGGTGCTGCTTAACTGGAATCTTTCAGCTCTGGCAATAGGTTGAAAAGTCTTTCTTCTTACACTAAATTACTACAGCGTGGAAGAGATCAGGAACATTCCTCAAAAGATGCTTGGTGGAGGGCTGCGAAGTGCACCACGATCTGTTGTGGGTCCGGGGGAGGGGTCGCCGGTGGTGCGAGGAACAGATCCTCCAGTAATCAGGGTGGAAGGCACAGATCTTACAGGAAAGGAGAGCCGGTTTGAACATGGCTTCCCACATCTTGCAGCCAGACGTCCATTTCCCGCCCACGTGGTGGACGTCTGTAAACAGAAACGTAAGTTGGTGCGCGTCTCTATAGGTTGTTTTTTCCACTCTAAAATTAAGGGGGTGGGGAGACGTATCGCCGCTGACGAGATGAGTCATTTGAACGGAGGACTGCATTTCTTCCGTGTCCCCCCCCCCCCTTGTCCGATAACGGTTGGGGAACCTTTGAAACTTGTAAAGCAATCTACGAGCAACCTACCTAGGCCGGGAATACTTATTTGCGGAAAATCGCACTCAAAGGACGCTGCCAGCCCTCGCGAAACCCCAAGGACCCTGGAGAGCGCAGCTCCCCCACTCGGCTGGGACCCCAGTCCTGCGGTCCATCGCGCGGGGTGGCGGTTGATGACCGCGGGCCGGCCGTTTTGATGAACAGAGCAGGGTGGGGAAAGCCTGCCGGCGCCGACACCACGCGGAGCCAAGTACTGTCTCAGCCGCAGTTGAAGAAACCGCTCTCCGCCTGGACGGAGGCGGAGCAGCAGCTCGGACAGAGCCAACAGAAAAGCCTTAAGATGCCTGGAGCGGCCCTGAGACAGCCTACTGCGCGAGGCACACTGGGACTTGTAGTTTCCTTCCCGGACAGCGTATTTTCCCACCGCGTTTCCCCGCCTTTTAACGTCGCTTTCACTCGCCTCCTCCCTTCCCAGCACGCCGACTTCCTGGTCGCCGCACGACCCCACGTACGACTACACTACCCAGAAGTCTCTTCTTCGTGTCTCAGTGCGGCGCGGGCTCCAGCCGTCTACTTTGAACTACAGTTCCCAGAGGTCGTCTGGATAAGTGCTTCCCTCTCTCGCTTCCAGGAGCACAATTCCCAGAGACTTCAGTTTCGCCGCGGTTCTCTTGTTACTCTGTCTCTTGAGTTGCTTGGGTTTCGATCGGCCAGCAGAAGCACAGCGGCGACGTGACCAGTCGTGGCCGGGCACGGGATCTCTCCAGCGGCCCGTCTTGCTCGCCCCCTCGGTTATCCCCCTTGCAGGCCGTCGCGCTTGGCCTGAGCGGTGACCTGGCGGGCCGCGCCTGCGCTCTGCCCCGTTTCCTGCCTGGCTGGTGGCGGCGGCCATTTTGTTCATCCTCCTCCTCCTCCTGCTCCTCCTGGTTGGAGCGCAGTGTCCGGAGCGGGCTGGGGGGAGAGAGCCCTAGAGCCGGGTTCGGTGCCTTTTCCTCTGTCCCCAGCCGGTGCCCGGAGCCCCCCTCCCCTTCCTCCCCACCCCCTCCCCTCCCCAGCCCTGCCCTCCCCCTTGTCCCGGGATCGCTCCGTCGCACCCACCATGATGGAAGACGACGGGCAGCCCCGGACTCTGTGAGTACCCGAGACGTGGAGTGCCGGCGCCGAGAGGCCCGGACACCGCGGGACGCAGAGGGAGGGAGCCGGAGCTCGGGCCAAAGCCTGGGCCCTCGGCAGCTCCGGGGTCGGGGTGGCGCGGGCGCAGAGCGCATTCCTCCTCTGCCCCCCTTTCCTGGGGAAGGAAGCCCTCCCTTCCCCCAAACACAATCACTTCGCTTCCCGGGGTCGGGGCTGGTGTCGACCTTCTGCTCTCGCGCCTTTCTTCGCACACCTTGCCTCGGCGGGGTTTCTGCCCAGCAGGGGCTGTCAGAGCCGGGGGAGCCCCGGATCTCCCTCAGCCCGGGGGGCTCTGGGCTGGGCCGTGCGCTGCGGATCCCCCCGGGGGCCGGGCCTGCGGGGGGGGGGGGGGCACGGGGGTGGGACCGCGGCTACCTCCCCTGCGGGCCGGGAGAAAGGCGCGCTCGAGCCCTCCGGGTCCCAGCTGCAGTGGCTCCCCGCGCCTGTCCCCGGCCAAGCTGTGAGGAAGCCGGACACTTCCGCCACTCAAGCCCCTACTCTTTCTGCCCCACGTGCCCCCGCCCACGCTGTCAGAAACACTATCCCGGCGCCCGCTACTTTTGAAGTGCGAAAGGACGTCTCTGGCGGCCGGAGCATCCTTCCCCTCTTGGATAACGAAGTTTCCTTTGAGCGCTCTTTGCGCCGCACTGACAGCCGCTTGTTAAACCGCCTTTGCTCTGTTGGTGATCGCCTCTCCCCACGGTGTGTGTGCGTCGAGACCTTCAGCGTGGGATTAAAATGATGGCTTTACCTGCTGCACGATGTGTGTCTTCTGCGCGCTTTTTCTTCTGTCTTGCTGTGCCTTTTTACCTGGAGCCCAGTCTAATGAATGAATTTCATCTTCCAACCGCTCGTTCGAGTGTCCTTCTTTTCCCCATGAGGAGTGATGACTCAGCACTTGCATTCCTTTCTGGATAGTGTGGCATTCCCTTCTTTTTCCTGCGTTAAAAAAAAAAAAAGACGAGTAATTTCTAATTAAATGCATGAGCTGGGCATCTTGGGACTTCCTAGCCTCACTGGAAGCTCAGCATTCCCACCTCGAGTAGTAGGAGTCAGATCGCTGCTTTGTTTTCTTCTGCCTCTGCCTGGTATTGATGAGATCATAGTTCATCTGGCTCTGCTCTCTGATGGGGACATCACTTTTGGGGAATAGATGAAGGTGAATGGGTTCTCAGGAAGTTTAACCAGCTCCTCATCTCCTCACTCCTACCAAAGACGGTCCTCAGTAAAGAAGATAGTGTTAATGTTCACTATCTATACAGGATTTGATTTGTGTGTGTGTGTGTGTGTGTGTGTGTGTGGACTTGCAGTCATTTTATTCCAATTTCTCTAATGTCTCCAGAGTATTTGCCATCCTGTATTAAGATTGTGAGGTCAGTGTACGCATAACATGCTCTAGTATGGAAAGCCTGATGAGCAGAACTTTCATATTTGTGTTTATGTGTTGTCTTTCATTTCTGCCTTCTCTTCCCAGAAAAGAGAATTGGGACACACTTGAAATTTGTCCTGCCGAAGCCAAGGCTTGGTATTTGGTTAGAGATGTGTACTTTGATGGAAGCACCTGGGAAAGCTGTATTTAGGCCTAGCTGGGTTGTATTTAACAAAGATAAAAGTTAAATTGTATCTAAAAATCTGAAGTGTCATCATTGCATCATAATAGCTACTGAATAATTGGTAGATTCTCAAGCCACTTTTCTCATTAACTGTATCTGTTCCCTATGAAGTAGAATTCTGGTTTTGCTGTATAACTATCTTTGCATCTGCCCTGTCTTCATTTCCATCCACCTTCCTCCAGTAGACTTACACGCTAACTTCCTTGTAACTTCTTACCTGCATACAAGTTGTTTTATGTTTGCAGCTGTCTGGAAATGTGACATTTAGGCATAAAAATAAAAGCATCTTGAGCTTAGTTGTTCCTGTTGTCAGTCACCTTCACTACTGCTGTCTTCTTTCTCCCTCTCCCGTCCTCTACATGGGAAGGGGTATTTAGTAGACGGGACTCCTCCACCCTCCTAGGTCTTGCCTGCCTCAGCAGTCAGCTCGTTGCCTGGGATGTGAGAGGTACTCTTGCTATTTTACCACGATTATCCTTATTTTTTTTTTCTTAAGTCTTGATTTAAAGTTATAGGCAGGCATGACTGTCATGGTGCAGTCTGTAGATTTTTTATGTTTCTTAAAGCTTTAAAATGTAAAATTTTCAGATAAGGCAAATGTTTTACAATTCACGTTCTTGTCAGAATTTAATAAAATTAATGCATAACAGTTGTTTTTTAAGTGTTCATATTACATATCTCTCCTCTGAGGGTTCTTTCAGATACAAGTAATATGGTGAAAACTTTGTGATGACTTTAGAGGTTGATGTCTAATAGGGGTTTGTTTTGTTTATTTATGGAGAATCTTTTACTTTACATTTTGGATTAGATTTTCAAATGACTAGTATGTTTTAAAACAATGTACTCTTAACAAAACTTACCTTAAACTGTTTCCTTAAAATGCCTGTGTGTTACTAGTGAGGTTTTTTCCCTGCAGACACACACAAGCTAAGACATATGGTTCTATCATCAGAAAACAATATGGTGTTTATAGCCTAGGTAGGTCTTTAAATATTCATTATCTACAGTATTACTAATTTATTTGATGGTATTCAAAGTAGCATAGAATTGCTTTGATGTCGATCCTAAAGTTTATTTGTCATACAATGCTTTAAAGTTCTGTTTTCTGAACTTGTGATGTCCATTCTCATTTCACATTTATGGGGGGGGGGGTTATTGATTAACTTGTGACCTGAAAGCACAAATGGGCCCATGCTGTGTAATACTGGTGTTGGAACTAGACTGCCTAACACCTGCCTCATTTCAGACATGTGTGGGTATCTTTAAGTGCAGTGATTTGATCCATGGTGTATGTCTGAGTCTATACTATGACCTTAAATTATATAAATTCTACTGCAGCTTATTTTATGTTCATCTATCCAGGGCACAGAAATGAGTAGGAATTGTGGGTCTGGGATTATATCATGTTATGCAGTGCCATCCTTTAAGGTTCTTCTGTACTTCCTGTAATTCAGTCAGAGGAAGAAATAAGCCAATAAGTTATTATAGTTTAAAGATTTAAGGACAATAGCAGAAGAAACTACTGTTCTCTCTCACTATAAAATTGAGTAGCTGTACCATTGACTTGGCTGTGTTGTGACTGTAGTTCATGCCCTCATTCAGCTCAGTCACTGTTTCTGCAAAAGTGTTTGTGCGTCAGTAGCCCTGTGTCTGGTCACACCATTTGTACCTTTCCTCTACCCTCCCTCTTTCCTAAATGAACTGTTGACAAAACCTGTTGACAAAACCGACCTGTTGATTAGAGGCCATTGAGGGTTATTGTTGAAAAATCTCCTCTTACAAAGGAACTTGTTAAGAACAAAAGTAAAATGTTTACTTTATAGAACTCTTAAGAGTTTTGGTAATTCCAGTCTTGGGAGGGCTTATGACTCTTCAGCATACAAGTGTGTTGAAAAACTGTGATTAGTCTTCTAAAAGCATGATATTCTTAACTTCAAATTCAGCCCAGTTGGACATAGGAAGTAGTTTGGCACTGTGAACTTTTGCCTACTGTGAAACTTCCAACTTTGTAGACTCAAGATGGATTTTTAACTCAGATGTAGGAATAAAGGCATCATTTTCTGTTTTAATGCTTTAGTTCCTACCATTTCTATTCTTAGTAGACAGAATAGACCTATGATGTGCTGCATTTTCTTTTTCTTATTTTTGGAACTTTCAAATTGTTTACTCTTGATTTGGCCTCTCAATGCAACAGAAAAAGAATTTAAAGTATTTCTTTTTCTCTTGTTATGTGTATGTTCTTCAAATAGAAATTTTATATTTAAACTTTAGAATTTTAGATTATGACTTCTTTATAACCTGAGTAAACAGTGAGTGTAGAAACTATAATTTAATAAGAAACGGATGTCATTTCAGTCACTGCCAAGACAGGAGTTTCTTACCTGGTTAGGTGTTGAACATTTGTCTTAAATGCTTTTGTTAGTCTTTATTTTGAACAGATAATTTCACATTATATAAAGGTACTTAAAACTGCCTAGTACTTATGAGGCTGTAAAGGCATTACTAAGTATTATGATGGTTGAAGGCACGTGAATACAGAACTCTGAGGGAAAGAGAAAGCAATCTGAAATTTAAATGAATTATACTTTTAATCCTGGTAAATTGATGTGCCATGTCTTATTATGAAAGGCCTTTTCTAATATTCACTTTTGTAATTTAATTGCTGTTTTACCAGTGAACTTTTAGTGGAGATTATTGGAAAGCTAGAAAACCTTAAAACTGGATTTTCTATAAATATTTCATGACATTTTAAAACTTAAATTAACATTTTGTTCTTTGGTATCAGAACTTGAAATTTAAATTAACTTATCTAAATAGATATGCCTCTTAAACTTCTTCAGAATCTACAGACGATTAGAAATACTCCCTTGAAATAACCCAGTAACCCGGTGTCCGTTGTGGCTGTTAGGGATGCAAGGTAATCAGCCCGTGCAGTTTTTTCTGAGCAAAGTGATGTTTTAACAGGAATGCAGATTTAAATTGTACTCATCTAAAATTTGTTATGGTAAAATGCTAATTCTAACTTTGTTACTCATTAGCTTCACTATGTGAAAACCATTCCTATTAGCCGAGAGCCCGAGAGCTCTTTAGGTTATGTAAGTACAATACCGAGAGCACCAAAGTCACTGGTCCATTTTCTTTATAGATAGGTCTGCATTGTGCAAAAAGAAATGATTGCGTGAATGCCGGCTCTGAATGCCAAGGAGTGCAGGCAGCCCGCAGCCTGCTTGGCTGCTCCCAACCCTATAGCCTTTCATTTCTCCTGGAAAAAGTATGTCACTGCGTAGCCTACTGATGGGTTTGTTATACTTTAATTATAAGTAAAGATGGCATAGTGGACCTGAGTTTCCGCTGGTTTAGTCTTCTATTTCAGTACCGTGAAACTTGTGTTTCAGTTTTAGAACTTGTGACTTTGAATTACTGGTACCAACTGCACTTAAATTCTTAACTGAACTGGAAAATGGCTACTTATTCTCCATAAGTTGTTTATTTTTCATTAACCTTACCTTTCTTGGTCTTATTTTTCCTTTTCAGAGTATTCTGTCTTAAAGCAGCTATGTTTTTAATATGGTAACCAGAGATACTAGGCTGATTTTGGTTTCAGTGCTCAGTTTCCAGACGTTACATATTATAGTTAGGAAAATAAAACTTATATCCCTTTCCAGAAGAAACTGGGTTAAATTTTATGGATGTTTGTTTCACAAGGTGGTTCATAACAGGTGTGTTTGGGAGTACCCAAAAAACTTAAAAGTTAAATAAAGGTAAATCCATGATACAAGACAAAACTAAAGTGGTCATCTCTTAGTAGTGATGTTCTCTCTCTTTTTTAACTTAATCTGTACTTTATAAGAAAAACATATAAATGGTAATTTCAGATAAGTTTACGAAGCAGAGCAGAACAAAATTCCCTAATCTCTGTGTTTACTGATAACCTTACCCTAATTCTGTTCTTTGTTCATGTTATAGCTTTGGTTGGGGCCTAAGATAACCTTACTTTATGTCTCCTATTCCTTTGTGATCAAATGTTTTAATGAGTCAGTGTTTGTCTTATTTGTGTATGTTATACATTATTTTGAATTGTGTTTCACATTTAGAAATTATAGTTGTTATCTTGAGATTTGTTTAAATTTTATTACTTTTGTTCAACAAATAAAAAGAGAAATGGAACAGGGTCCAGAATAATATGCTTTGGGGTATGCAGTCATACTGATTTGTGCTTTATGAAATCTTTTGAAGTGGTACTTCAGTGGCCTAAGAACAAGTATTGCTGCCTTAAACAAGGGTTAATCTTTTATGGAATTAGGCTTAAATAAATAAAATGAGGAAAGATTTTATTGAAGGCAAAGAAAGTTAAAGTGAAATAAATTGTGATGAGTTAAATGATAACACATAGAGCCAGAGCTGAAGGGAAAACTGATAATGTGTTTTCTTCTTCCTCAGATACGTAGGTAACCTCTCCAGAGATGTGACAGAAGTCCTTATACTTCAGTTATTCAGTCAGATTGGACCCTGTAAAAGCTGTAAAATGATAACAGAGGTAAGATCTCCCAGGTTTCATGTGCTGACAACTACCATGCTATTTTACCAACTTGAGATATACCACTTTATGAGGATCACTTTAAATTTTCACTTTGAGCCTCAAGTTTTATAATTTGGGAGGGGGGTAGTGGTTTATGTTTGTTGTGTTGCTTTATTTCATTTGGCTATAAACTAGGTTTGGAATGGAATTTTGAGAGAACAAATGTTCTGTGCTATTATTCTCAAATGGGCATTCTTCATGTGATGTAGTTTGCTTCAAGTGATTCTGCTTATGGAAGGTTGTTAGAGCTTATCTCAGAGTGCTGAAAGACTAGATGGTAACTTTTTAAATTCTAATAAGAATGTTACCAATTCAAATAGTAGACACTTAAAATTTAGGAACTGGTGTCTGTAAAAGAACATTAGGTTATTATATACATAGTACATCACCAAGCATTGTGTCCGTTTTTTGTAAACTCTGTTGACTGACCAGTTTATATAGGTAGGGATTTAAATTGTTAAGGTAATAATTTTGTTTTCCTGTTTTTCAAAGAAAACTTAACTTTTTATACTTCCTTGGTTAAGACTCTGGCAGTGCCCAGTGATTGGTGTTTCAGTTCTCTTCTTGTTATTCACCAACACATTTTTTGGACTGTTTACTGTGTGCCAGCACTACGGTAAGTGCTAGAGATACAGTGGGGACTGAGACAGTTCCTAGTTCCGTAGAATTTTATAGTCTGATTAGGCGGGTGGAGGAGTTACAGGGCAACAGCCGCTACGGAAGCAGACGATTTCAAGTGCTATGAGAGCGTGTAAGTCCCACACAGTCCTGGGTTGAGGAGGCATCTTGGAGGATGCAGTGTCCAGGCTGAAACCCAAGAGAACAGTACTAGGAACTGGCTCGGAAAGAATCTGAAGAAGAGATTTCAGGTAGAGAGAATGTTGATCCAGTTTGATAAAGTTTAGAGGGAAAGATCGAGACCATAGCCTAGTACATGGGGTCAGCTTTAAGAGATGCAAGGCAGTGAGGCATGGGTGTTGGGGCAGGGAGCAGCGTGCTGAGGAGTTTGTGTTGTAGATCTGACACAGGAGAACTATTAAGAACCTGTAAAGCAAATTGACCTTTTGATTTTTTTCCCCCCATAACTAATGATAATCATCATTCTGCTTTTGTATATTTCTCTCTTTTCCTTCCTGCCTTTTATCAATCATTCATTCATGCATTCATCAAAAAATTGCTTTTTGCTAGGCACTAATCAGAATACTTGTGATATGATATAATGAAGAGCCAGACAAATAAGTTTCCCATAAATTTACATAGCAGTGAATATTGTTAATAAACAAGTAAACAAGATGGTTCTAGATAGAGATAGGTGCTATATCAAGTGAATAAAGCAGTTCTGTGGTATTGATTAGAGAGTTGTTATTTCGTTGAGCCGAAACCAGAATAACTAGAGGGTGTCATCTATGTTAACAGCCAGAGGGGTTCCTCCTGGTGGCGCAAAGTTAAAGCGCAGCACTGCGAAGGTGGCAGCACTTGAGTGTGAGTTCAGTCCCTGCCCCAGAAGTGACCCACATGGCGCGGCAGACCTCTCCTGACCCGCCCGCTGCTCCCCTCAGCAGTGGACTTTGTCAGCCTGCCTGCTCTGCTCCCCACTCTCACTCTGGTGGGTCCTCTCACTGCCCTTGCATCTCTGGCCTGTACCCCAGAGCAGTATGGATAAATAAATAAATCTTTTTTAAGAAAAAAGAGCCAGAGGAAGAGGGAACCACAGATACAGGGCTTGTGTTGATAACGAACCTGTTGTGTTTGTGGAAATAAAGACCAACCTGGCTGTAGCCTGGGACGTACGTGGTAGTGGACGAGACAGGTAGAGCAAGTAAGGGCCATGACAGTTTGGATTGATTGTACTGTGGCGCCATAGTAGGGTTTTAAGCAGAGGAAGCGGATACTCTGATTTGCCTTTTTAGCAGTCAGTTGGACTCAGTTGGCTGTGGGATGTAAAAGAAAGGAAGGCATCAGGAAAGACCCTACGATTTTTGTTTGTGCATTGTGTGGAAGGTAGTGCTGCTTACTAAAATGGGCATGACGGGGGGAGGCACAGGGCTGATGGGGGGCAATGGTGAATCAGGAGTTCTGTTTCGGTGGTGGTAGAGGTAAGATGTGCGTTAGACATTTGAGTCCTGCTTGAAAGTTAGGATAATGACAGAAAAGTGATCAGAGAGGTGGTTAATCAGCTGATTTTCTGTGTTATGAACGCAGAAATTGAAGTTTTCAGGTGGCTTGGTTGGAAGCTGACTAAAGTAGATTCAGGAGAGAATGGATTGTGAGAATGAAAACAACCACTAGATTTTTTGAGAAATATTGTCAAAGATTTAACAGTGTTTTGTTTTGTTTTTTTAACCCATGTGTATATACAGCAACTTGAGGGGTAAAGGATTTGAAATGACTTTTCATTATTATTTATCTATATACTACAACTTCTACATTTGAACTTGTAAGTAGTTGTAAAGTCCCATTTCTCTGTCTTGACACTTATGTGATCCAACAAAAATTTGTGACACTAATTAAGGTAAGGATCCAATTGAGTTTTGAGTGTCACTTGGTGTAAACAAGAAGGACATGAGTTCTGGTATAGACTATTTAAGTTTTAGTGTATGAAAATATACTTAGCTTCATGATTTTTAAAACATTTTTTTTGATCTTAGATTCTAGCCCTCTATATATACTATAGTAAATGTATTGTTAAGTAAATGCTAAAGACATTTCAACATCTCTAACAGTTGGAATGTGATAAGAATCGACATTGCCTTAAGTGAGATGAAATGATGAGTATGAGGTGTCTGTTTAAGGGGCTGTGTGGGTTTGTACATTGTATGAGATCTGGCCTGCCCCTGCTAGGTGGACTTGAAGTCAGTATTGCATGAGTAGACTAGTTTATCAAAGTCTGTGTGTACCCCTGTATGTTTTGTGATGATTATCAGTGATACTATCAGGACAGAAGAGGTAGAAGTAAAAGGGAAAATTTGACTAGCAGTTTCTGCTTTTTATTTACCTTTAAATTCTTGTTCAGTGAATGTTAACTCTTGGTAAATGTGAACTCTTAAAGTGCCTATTTGGAGTCTTTTCCCACATTTCCCCTTTCTTTTAAGAACAGTGTTCACATGACCAGGACAGTAAGGTTTTGTATGTGAGCCTGTAGTTTCTCGTCAGTATTAATGATCACACTTTTTTTTCCCTCAAGGAAATGCCTTCTGGTTGCTTCGCCACTATTGTTTTAGACGCTTATTTGGGATTTTTCTTCTAAAACTTTCCTGGGATGAAAAAACAGTGGTGTTGAACAGATCTTTATTTTATCTGGTATTTTTATCCCTTGTAAGTGCAACTAGAATTCCACATTTTAAATATTTTCTAGGATATTTTACATTGAACAGTGATGAATGTTTTTAGCAGTATATATAAAAATGTATTTCTACAGTGCACAGCTATTCAGTATAGGTTGCAATTTTATAAAATTTATTTCCATATTGGTGATTAGGTGATAAAGGTATAATTTAATCCTACTCTCTCATCTTATTAAATATTTATTTGCTAACTGCTGTCAGGCAGTGTTGTAGGGTACTTTTAATAAATATTTCTTATATTGATGTTTTTGTGATACAGAATTTTAGCTTTCTCCTGGCATGTTTCAGGAAGACATAGTTTCAGAAATTACTTCCTTGATTATGAGTGATTTTTTTCTGGTCTTTGGAAGACCAAATGAAAGTATTAGAATCTCCAGTAATTCAGAATATTTTGAAAGGAAGGAAATGCTTCTCAGTAGCTGGTTGTAAGTCTGAATGTCTGTTTTTCTTCTCATTCCTTCTTTCTTCAGAAAGGAGGCACATAGTCTTCTTGTCTTTGCGGCAGCACCAGCAAATGTAGCACTAACCCTAGTTTCCACCGGGAGTAAAGTCTGTAGAGTTGGCTCTTTTCTGTATTTCTCATGGTAGTGGATACAGTTTATGAAGGGTTAAGATGCATAGGTGGATGTCATCCTTTTGAAAATAATGTTGGAAAGAAGAGTGGTGGTCCTTACCGCTCAGATCTGAACTTGAGGTTTTGTTTGACCTAATCTTCTATTTTATATTTAACATACTTCACCAGAATTCTGTATTTTGATTTAATACTTACAGTTTTGCTTTTATACTGCTTTTATAGTTCTGTTTGAGTTCTACAGTAGTCTGAGGCACAAAGTCAGGTGAAGCTATAAATCTTATTTTTAAAGTGTTAGGCTTTCATAAGCTTTTGCAATCTCACTTTGTACATTCCTAGCTATCAGTAATGTTTTTTCCTGGATTTTCTTCTCAGCAACCCGATAGCAGAAGGGTCAACTCTTCTGTTGGATTTTCTGTTTTGCAGCATACAAGCAATGACCCATATTGCTTTGTGGAATTTTATGAACACAGAGATGCAGCTGCTGCATTAGCTGCTATGAATGGGAGAAAAATTTTGGGAAAGGTAAGATAATGGACGGACGGCACCTTATGCTTATATATGTTTGCATGGCACACTAGTTCTTGTGCTTTCATAGCAAATTGTTAGCGAATATGCAACTCTGCCAAGTGATGGTTTGCGTTATTCAGCCTAGTGGTTTTACAAAATAATCCTGCTCAATCAATAATTTAATAAGTGGCAAATGTTGTGATTCATAATGACATCCTAATAATGGCATTAAATATAATCTTTATTTTTAGGAGGTCAAAGTAAACTGGGCAACAACACCAAGTAGCCAGAAAAAAGATACTTCCAGTAAGTACTCCTGCTGCATTTTACTCTGGAAGAATTCTGAAATTACCTTGGCAGCATTTCCAGCTTACAGGGTTTTTTCTTCCCTTAGTGTTGCCTGCACAAAGTTTAGTAGCTGACTTCTTAAATATTTGATTACTAAATGCTTTGATTTCAGATCACTTCCATGTGTTTGTTGGGGATTTGAGTCCAGAAATCACAACAGAAGATATCAAATCAGCATTTGCCCCCTTTGGTAAAATATCGTAAGTATCATAATCAATACTATACTCTGTAGTGACAGGCAGAATTGTATATGGTTAACTTGTATCAGAATTAAGATTTTCTTTCCCTAGTTAGTGTGATTTTATTTATTGTTTGTTTCTTTTGTTTTTTTGATTAGTAGATGTTGTTGAAAATGTTAATGTCATTTCAATGTTTTGGGGTCTTGTTTTAATCTAACTTGTGTATAATATGTTAAAAAGATTTTAAGTGATTCTGTTTGTTATATTTGAAGCAGATGTTTGGGTGATAAAACTATTATAAAATATAACTCTGTCAAATGTTTTAAATATTTGGTGATAAAGATAATGGGTTAACCAAAAATGTGATTTTTACTGTATCTTAAACTTTTATATAAGGAGTTTGTAAATGGGAAGTAGATGAATACTTGGTATTTTGTGGAAATGTACATGTTTAATTATAATGATAAAAAGTGTTTTGATATTTTAGCTGAAAAGTAGTAGTATTATACTATTAAAATGTTTCAGTGTCTGAACCATAAATGTGGGGTTAATTAGTAGATTTTTTTTTTTTTGCTGGTATTTGATTCTGCTAGATAGAGGCCAAATGTTTAATAAAATTTATGATGAAATTACCTTGTATGTTGATCAGATATGTTGGGAAATTAAAAGTGGTTATAAATTGTTATAAAGTGTTTATCACAATTATCTTTGTGATTAAAGTCAGTTTATTTTATGTATTTATTTCCTGTAGAATTAAAGTACTACTTTACAGGAATATGTTTCAACTGAGAACAACAATTCCTTTTCTCTGTACAATTTGTTGTTCTATAGACTTAATTTATGTGAAAGAAAGATTTAATTCTTAATTTTCTATTTCGATATTTGCTTTGCTTTTTAATCTCTTAAGTGTGGTAAGTAGTACTGTTTTAAAAATCAGTATAAAAATGATACAGGTTGCTGTTTTTCAATCTTTATTTATACCTGAGACCTGCAGTTTTTCTAAAGTCCAAGTCACAATTAAAAGTAATAGCATTCTGGTTATTTTGCAGAATTGCTCATAAGAATGGACAGGATCTTGAAGGCTAACTGCAAGGAACTGTGCACACTGGAACTCAGTTGTAGATTTTTTTCTCATTTCTATTTATTCTTATTATACATTATTTATATATACATATTTTAGTATTTACATTTTAACATTCTATATTCAGTGGAGTTCTATATTTCCAATCATTTTAACTTACTCACTAAAATTTCTGTGTAAATTTGTTGTTTTCGTACTGGTGTGCTTAGCATTGTTGTTAGTTTTTTATTCTCCTTTCTTAAATTTCTGAAAATGTCAATTTTTCAAAATTTACAGCTGCCCAAACTCCAAAATGATGATAGAGAATTGACCAAGAAAAATAAAGAAATCTGTTAACAGGCCATGTATGCCTTTTTAATTCCTATTTTTTCCTCTTTTTCAATTTTTTAATATTTCATATATTTTGTATCACTAGGCAGAAGACATTTAACTATTTAGTGATTGCATGGTAAAGTAGTTAGCAATGTTACAGTAATTTATAGAACCAGTAAACCTTAGCGGACACTAGCCAGTAGATTATTAGAAAAGGAAACTATTGTTCCTATTAATCTACAGACTTGAGCATTTAGTTTAGAAAGCACAGGCTATTTGACTAGGTTGCATGTTTATTACATGTTTTTGTCCTACTGCTTTTTTCTAACAGGTAAAGAAGCGTTAGGGAGAGTTCAGGATGGCTGTAGTTAATTAGGGCTAACTGGAATTTTATTTAAAAAAATGCTCACAATACAGTGTGTGTGGTTCCTTTTAGTTTTTATTTTGAAGATGACTTTTACTTCCCTCATTTAGCTGTGCTTCTTTTCACAGGGATGCCCGAGTAGTTAAAGACATGGCAACTGGAAAATCTAAAGGCTATGGTTTTGTATCTTTTTATAACAAACTGGTAAGTTTTTTCAACTCAATTTGAATTAAATACACAATTTACTCATTAATCTTAAATATTCATAGATGTTGCCTACAAAAATAGCTTTATGTAATTTCATGTATTTTAATAATAGCGTGTAATTCGTTCTCTTTTCATAAGCTTGGAAATAAAAAGCTGAGAAAAGATAGTTTACTACAGAGGAGAGTATTAAAATTAGATTTGACACTGATGAAAGTGAGATGTCTTAACAGCAAAGCTTGAGTAGAACAGGGGCTTCCCTGGTGGCACAAGGGGTTAAGTCTCAGCGCTGTGAAGCTATCAGCAGCCACTGCACTATGAGTTCAGGGAGTGACCCATATGGCGCAGCAGACCTCTCCTGTCCCACCCACTACTCCCCCTCAGCAGTGTATTTCAGTGGATCCACGTGTTCTGCTCCCCACTCTGTCTCTGGCGAATCCTTTCTCCTGCACCTCTAGCCTACACCCCAGCACTTGTATGCATAAATAAATAAATCTTCTTTAAGAATAGGATACAAACTAATTGAAGAATTTGGAGGGAAGTTAAATTCTGTTTGGGCTTGATGTTAAAATTTCATTTCAGTTTTTTAATTATCCATACTTTTGTAGCTGGGATGTTAACGACTAGCAAATAATGTAAATGAAAATCTAAACAACTCCTTGATACATATATTCTTTAAGAAAGAGGTGCCAAAATATAAGCAGTTTGCATGAGTTATAACAGTAAATAATAAAGTAGGCTTTGATGTTAGCAACTGAGAATAGTCTGCAACTTAATCACCAATATTTTATTAAAGGGTATTCTTTCTTTGCTTTTGATTCATTGAAATTCACATAAGTTTTTATCATCTAAGCTCATTTTCACTGATAGCCAGATTACAGCATTTCTAAATCATAATTCTTAAAGCTATCTTAAAATGAGTTTTTAATCTTGTGTCACAGTCATAATCCATTGCTATTAGAAGATAGATTTTTGGGCCTAGGGGAGTTGATGATTTAGAGTATAATACTGAGGTTTTTAATACAGTCTCAGTAAAAGTTACATTACAAATCAAGCATATAATTATGATATCCGAAAACAACTTGGGATTTCTGCTTTTTTTCTTCTTTTTTTTTGTGATCAGTGATTGTGAATATGTTTCCTTGTATATTTTGAACTATGGTAAATTTCCCCTTTTGCTTAAATATCTTGGCATTTTGAAACATTGATTAAAAGTAGATTTTAAACCACTTGAGTTCAAATTTTTTTTGGCAATACTTACTGAGGGTGTCTAGTGAATTAATTTACTGGTATGATTTTATTGGGTCCAGCAGCGCCAACTTCTTATTTCATCATACTGGATTTTACATATCACTGTTTTCTGGCTTGTAATTGCTCTTTCTCTTTTTTTCTCCATAGGATGCAGAAAATGCAATTGTGCATATGGGCGGTCAGTGGTTGGGTGGTCGTCAGATCAGAACCAATTGGGCCACACGTAAACCACCTGCACCGAAAAGTACACAAGAAAGTAAGACATGTATATGTCCTGTGTCTACTATGTATGTTAAAATTAGGTCTTTTTTCACAAAATAATGTACCAGTATTAGTCCTAATTTCTCAAAATATGCCATTTAGCATTGCAAGACTCATCATCTTGAATTTTAATTGAAAATAATTGGTCTTTGGTATAAGAAATAGGTGTAGTGAGCCCAGCTTATTTTGCAGATTAAATCATAGCATCAAGAAAAAAAATTCCGTTTTCTCACTCCCATTTTTAAGGTATATTTTAGTAGTGTACAGTATTCCGTTTCATATTACAGTACACCCACAGCATTTTTGTATTTTGTCTTCATGCATATAGATAACACTAAGCAGTTGAGATTTGAAGATGTAGTAAACCAGTCAAGTCCAAAAAATTGTACTGTGTACTGTGGAGGAATTGCTTCTGGGTTAACAGGTACAGTGTCTGGCTTTCTAATTCCCCGTCTTTGTCCGTTCCATCACTACTAGCATCCCTTTCATGGTATACATGGCATACCTTAAATATTTTTTTTATATTGTTTTAAAGATCAGCTTATGAGACAGACTTTCTCACCATTTGGACAAATTATGGAAATAAGAGTGTTTCCAGAGAAGGGCTATTCATTTGTCAGGTAAAATTCTATGTGTTAACGTTATTACTGTAGATTTTATCCACTGCTTTCAGTTATGTGTGCGCGCCCCCCCCCACCCCGCACCCCCCTACATATCAGAGTTTGTGTTTTAGTCCTTCTTACAATGGAAAACGTTTAACTGCCTGCATAATGTCCTTTAGCAAAACACTAAGCAGACAGTTATAAACTAAATATCTGTATTCTTTACTCTGTTAAGTTCTCATTATCTTCCTCCCAGATTCTCAACCCATGAAAGCGCGGCCCATGCCATTGTTTCAGTTAATGGCACTACAATTGAAGGACATGTTGTTAAATGCTATTGGGGTAAAGAATCTCCTGATATGACTAAAAACTTTCAACAGGTAATTCGATTTTTCATAGAACTTCTTAAAGTTTCCATCTTACATATCTGCATAGAAGGTTTAGAAACTATAAAATAACAACAAAGATAAAGCATAGAACTGCTTTCAGTTGATTTTATTAATGCTATTTCAAAAATGATTATTTTGTGGTATTAACTGAATCTTAATACTTTCTTTTCACAGGTGTCACCACCCAATAAACTTAGACAATGATAAATAACAGAATCCTATTCACATAAGGGTGCTTACTTAGTTTTTCTCTTCCTTGACTCCCACTTTCTTCAAATACTGTGTTTCTTATTTGTTCCCTAAAGTGGTAATTTGCTTTTTCCTAGGTGGACTACAGTCAGTGGGGCCAGTGGAGCCAGGTTTACGGAAACCCTCAGCAGTACGGACAGTACATGGCGAATGGGTGGCAGGTACCGCCGTATGGAGTGTACGGCCAGCCGTGGAACCAGCAGGGCTTTGGAGTAGAGTAAGTCTGGGTTTCCGTGCGGAAGCAGGCGCGGAAAGAAGAAATGCAGTGACGATTCTCCCTAGAAATGACACTTACCTTCTTTTCTCAGAACCTGTCCATTTGCATACTTGTACTATGTAAGCTGGAACTATTTGGCATCGTAAACACTGTGGAAACCTTACAAAAATTTTACATAATGCTAAAAATTGGCTTTCGTTGCTTAAGTGAAAAGGGCAGTTGGACTAAAATAAGCAGTTGGTAGAATTTGATTTACTACTTTATGTCCTTGCTTATGTTTGTATGGGAAAGACTTTGAGATAGCTTCAGAAATGTAATCATATGTTCCTGTTGACTTGTGTGAGAAGGCTCATATTTATCTGATACAAAGTAGCTTGCTTTTTTTACTTTGTTGGAAGAAGGGGGTGGCTGCTTGCATTTTTTTATCCCTTGAGCCAGTGCATGTCCTTTCTGGTTCCAACAAATCACTTATGATTCAAAAATTTCTTATAAATGGATATCCCATGTGTGCAGTATATGCTGGGTAGGTAATGTGTCAAACCATTTTTTTAAGTTAGTTTTGAAATACTCCAGAGTAGTCATTGCATTAAGTTGTGCTTATCTGGAAAAGTGAAGGCTAATGTTGGACTACATTCTGCAGATGTGGATATGTATCATGAGTTCCTTTGCTTCCTGTACACTTTATGGTGTCTTACTGTGTAGTGTGTGGCAATCTCTCCTTGATTTGTTGTTTTGTATGAATGTAGAGGTAATTTGTTCTTGTGCTTAAGATTTCTTTTTTTTTTTTTTCCCCCTTGCAAGTCAATCACCTTCTGCTGCCTGGATGGGTGGATTTGGTGCTCAGCCTCCCCAAGGACAAGCTCCCCCCCCTGTAATACCTCCTCCTAACCAAGCTGGATATGGTATGGCAAGTTACCAAACACAGTGAGCTGGGACTCTAAACACAGTTGTAATTCATGATAGCTTCAGTTTCCTGTGACACTCTGAAGACATGAAAGTAGACATCGAAAAATGGAAATATTTATTTTAAAAATTGAAATGTTTGGAACCTTTAGCACAGCTTTGCTTTGGTGAAGGACACATGTCTTCTAGTTCTGCCTTTTTAAGTTTTTGTTCATGATGGATATGAACATGATTTTTCTTTGTGTACAAAAACTAAAATAAAGTCAATAAAGACAATTCTGACTACAAATTTTGATATAATAGGAGAAATGGGTAATACATTTTGATTCTTAGATACTATCCCATTTTTATCTTGCTGTTCAGTATTTTAACCCACTGTGTTTTTAAAGCGCAAAAAAGGGAGGATCGTGAAAAACTGGGAATCATATAAGTTCATCCTGAACCTTGATACTCCCCACCCCTACCCCAAAGTGGACCACATTCGAAGTCAGCCGAAAAAAGTGTGATATTCGGAAGAAGTGCATGATTTTGGAGTCGCTTTGGAGGAAATATTTACTTTCTCTATGCCTAAAGAAACTGAAGCCAGACTGATAAAGAAATTTTGCAACTTAAATAAGGAACAACATTGTGTGACATACTTGAGCGAATGAATACTGGTGGTCCACAGTAAGACATATTTTTAAAACTTAAAAAAAAATGTTATTATTAAAACTGTAGTAATTTACATTTCATTTGTGGGGGCAAATTTCCAAGTATGGTGTTTGTATTAAGGTCAGACAGTCATACTTGTGCTTTTACATGAAGTTTAAATGATATACATTGTAAATATTGAATAACTACAGCGTTTAAAGAGCATGCTTCAACCTAGAAGTAGCAGCAATGTAATTATTTGAAGTAACACTTAACACATGCCATGCATCCAGTGCAATGGATTGATAAAGATGTTTTTAAAAGACACATTTCCAAGGTTGGCTACCATGTAAAAATTAAATTAACAAATTACAGAGAAAGCCTTAATTTTAATTTCATACAACTCTTGACGCATTAATACATTTTAAAGTGTCATTGGAAATTATATTTTTTTCCTTTTTTTTTCCCTTTACATCACTTGGTATGTAAATACCTTCATGAAAACCTTGTAAACCTATTTCAAGGTTCCTATAAGTTGTATAGTACAGTGTTTTTTAAAAATCTTGGGGTGTTTTTAAAAATTAGATATATTTTGCCCTGGAGTTTTTTAAACAAGATTGCTAAGACATCCTATTTAGACAGTTTGATGAACCAGTTTATAATTGGATAGTCAGCTTATTAAACAGCACACGAGTTACAACTCTTATTTTTAATTAATTTCCTTTCCGTGTGGGGTAGAGCGCATGGGGTGGCCTGAGTAGAGGCTGAGCTGGATGTGTGCAGTTTGTAAATGAAGTGATGGGGAAGATGTAAAAGGTTCCGTTTGCTTCTGAGGTGTTTTTCAGGCTATGTGGATAAAGACCTGCCTCACATTTCTATCTTAACAGGAATGTAAAATAGATAAAGTCCTATGTATCTGAATTACGTCAGCTGGGGGGTGCAGAGGTTCAGGCAGTGCGCTGACGTGTTTGCGACCTGGGCACCAGAGTGAGAAGAATCGCCCTTTCCCATGAAGGGTGCAGTGCAACTAGCACGTACAAATCACTATTTTTTTAAACTTCTCAAGTCTTAAAATTAGCTTTAAGATAATGATGGTTTTATAAATTGGTGACCACTATAATTTTGGTATTATTTTCCTTCTGCCCCCATTTAGAAATGTAGCTAAATGTACTCAACATGAAAATTTACGGAGTCTCAAGCTCTTCATCTTTGGGCCAAAATTTTTATGGCATTTTAGTTTCAACCATGATGATCACCTACTTCCACTTTCCTATTATAAGATTTACCCTTCCTTTGGTCATGGTTAGTGTCATTGGGGGATATTAAGGAAAAGTTACTTTATATTTTATAAGGAGAACACTGAAATTATATCAATTATGCCTCCTGGTTAAACATTTCTTGAATCTATGTGAAACTTGAACAACTAAAGCCTTTTTTTATATATTGTTGAAAGCCTATTAAATTCTCAGTTTGCCTTTTTTGGTCTGCCAGTATATTAAGTAGCTTATTGAGATAAATAACACCTAAACACAGCTGCAGTGTTTCCTAGATGTGTATTCTATAATTTAATGAAATTATCCAGACTAGTCATAGTGCCATAATAAACATGTGACTGAAGTGTCCTTCGTCTTAATCTGAAAGAGAACAAGATTTCACGATGAGCTCAGTTAACAGAAGCTATTTCATATCACATGGTCTTGAAGATCTGAAGCTGTGTGCCCAAATGAGATGCAGCACCTCCAAACACAGCCGTCAAGCTGACAGAAACTCAAGGCTGTTTTATTAGAACACAGTGAAGTCTGTGCTATCTTGATCCAGTTTAAGTCCAAGGACCGTTGCCTTTTTCCCGTTCGTTAGAAACAGCAGCAGAGGTTCTTAGACACAAGAAAATGTCTCATATTTCATAATTATTTTGGTGATGTGTTTCTGACTGCCATCTTTATGCTCTAGTGATCTTCTCTATTAGTCTTTCCCACCATGCCATTCCCACTTGATTTTTATGTCTGCTGGCAGTGAGAGGCTAACATGACTGGCCAACTAAAGCCAAAGCTGTAAACCACAGTTGAAGTTAAGTCTTTCAATAAAGACTAGACTATATGATAAGTGGCTTTTTCTCATTGTCGTTTATTACACTTTTGTACCTTCCAGGCTGCCTTGAAATAAGCAATGTGATTTTCTGTCAAGTTATTGTTAAGGTATGTGGAGTGTACAGTGTGTCTTCAGGACAGACTTCTGTTTTCTGCATCAGTTTTAAAGTCCATTAGCTTTGTTGAGTCAAAATTTAACTTTGGATATAAAGTAGAATTTTATGCATCGTTCTAAAACTGTCTGCTCTGTTGATTACCAATATAGTAAAACCTCATTAAATTGGAGTCCTCCAAAGTAGAAACCATTATTTTACCATACTACCAGACTGTCCCTCTCAACAGTAGAAAAATTTAGTAAGCAAGCTAGACATTTTTTTTCCAGCAGGTGACCCAAATTAAATCTTACTCATTAATTGAAAGTCAGTCTTTGGGCTTCCACTTAATATATTGTAAACATTGAGTTTGTATTTTTAATATGTATTAAAGATGCAAATCTGATTTAGACTTTCACTAGTTTATATACACCTCAAATGATTGAAATAAATGGATTTTATTAAATATGAATTCTATGTGTAGCAATAAAATGTCCCAGTTACTGTGGTTAAGTAGTGTGGTATTTAAATGCTATATTAATCTGAAAGTTGGTCTCCTAGCTACCTAAATTGGGTCTGTTTTGAAAAATAGTTCAGGTAAGCTAGAATACTATGCACCACAAGGTTGACATGACTGTCTCCTTAGGAGCGAGGATGACTTGGTTTAAGAATTGCCTGAGTGGTGATGAGGTTTACCTGTATGTAGGAACAGGTGGAGGGCACTGTGTTCATCCAGATACTGTTTTTTACCTTAGGAAAATAAACTAGGGGAAGGGGTGTGCTACCATAATTCGCCCTTTTGTAGAGTTTGGCTTTTCTTCACGCAAGGAGATTAATCCACATAATGTTTCACAGTTTGATTTTTAAACAAGAATGTCAATTACAGTTGATTAACCTATGAGTCCGATAAGCAATTTCTTAAATATTCCAGCCCGGTTCTAAAAGATTTGCCAAATTTTAACTTACTCAATTGTTGAATTTTTGTTGTTGTTCATTAACCATTATTTCTCTGCAATGTTCCTCAGGGAAGGTCCTCCAATACCTTGAAGTCAGCTTGGAAAATAGGCCAACTCTTAGTAAAACTGGAGTGCTATTGGATAGGTATTAGAGAAAGACCAGGGTACTTCTGCGAGAAGTACTCCCATGGTTAGGTTGTACGTTTGGCCGTGTGGCCAGGCGCAGCTTGCTTGTTGCCCTCTTTCATTCTTAGGGACTCATGAGGCCAGGAGCCTGGCTGGTTGTCACTGGGCTCGGGAGAACTGCATTTTTGAGGTAAACCAGGCTTTGCTGTGTACAGTGAGTCAATGCCATAACCTGCTCAGCTGGGCTGGTGGTTTGTTTTTCTGTTTGTTTCTAAGCCCTGGGTTTGGGTTCATCAGTGAGAAGTCAGTCCCATCTGGACATTATGGGCATATATGCAGCTGTGCCTGTTGTGAGAATCGATAACTGTACGCTTGAGTTTCTCACAGTTGATTTCACTGGTTAAGCATTGAATTGTTCCATTTTGGGTTTACGGGATTTCTTTTGCTCACAATGATAAAAGTTAACTCAATGGGCATTAATGTAGCTAAACAAAATTGAGAATGTCCATTTAATGACCTTAGTGTGCTGCTGTTTTGAGAAATGTTTTAACTTGTAAATCATTTTAATCACCTTTGGTTAGTGTATATTTTAGCATATAATCCAGTTTACGCTGGGTTCTCTGTTTGAGGATTTGTTTGGGGAGGGAGAGAAGTCTTTGATGTGGAAGAGTGTCTTGGGCAGATTGGGAAACCAGGCAGGCTAATCAGGGCTTCTCTGTTGCTTCCTAAGATTCTACTAATTTAGCAATAAGAGTAGAGTATCAAGTTACTGAAAATATCAGCATCACTTATTGCCACAATAATTCAATTTCCTTCAAGGTATGTTTTTAATTAGAAATATCTCTCCACGTGTATTAGGATGCTGGCAAATGTTTCAAATACTGCCTTTGTGCATTTCAGTAAAGGATTAGGCTACCCTTCAGAATCCACATTTAGTTTGTAATAAACAGGAATCTTTAACAATGAAGTTATCTTTAATTTCAATTCCTAGTTGCTTGGCTATTTTGATGTCTGATTATGTCTCCCTCCCTCCATTAGAATATAAACTCCTTAAAGGCAGAGAATTCCTTTTTTTTTTTTTTAAGTTTGCATACAAGGCTGGGGCACAGGTCAGAGGTGACAGGATTCACCAGAGATAGTGGGGAGCAGATCAGGCAGATCTACTGCAGTGCACTGCTGAGGGGAGCCTGGAGTAGTCTGCCGGCCTTGTGGGTCTGCTCCATGGCTGGGGATCAAGCTGCTACAGTGGCTGCTGGTAGCTTGTTAGCACTGAGACTTAACCCCTGTGCCACCAGGGATGCCCAAATTGGGGGGGGGGGGGCTGCGGTGGGGTGCAGGGAATTCGATAACACCTTGACTATGGTGTTCTATAAATGCTGAATACATGAATGCGCCTGAGAGGTAAAAGTACTTTAGTCTCCTTAAATCCAAACCCAACCAGCAGAACGAGATCTGCGTCAACTTGGAGCTTGTTAAAATGTGCATCCCAAGCACTGATGTGGGTGAAGGTAATCTGAAGCCAAGTTGGCTGTGTGGATTCCTTTTTCCCTCTTACAGCTCTTTTCGGGGAAGGAAGACAGTAATGGTTATGGTCACACATTTCCCAGAAAATTTGAGAGTCATCACCTCAGCAGCTTGGACCCAGTTTGTCAGGCATCCTTCAGAGGCGACTAGGATGCATTCCCAGTGGTGACAGCTGGCGTAGGAAAACCATGCGTGCCCTTCCGACTTCCCACAAGGAGTGGTTTTAGGCCGTGGTGCCACATAGTGCAGGGAGGGTTATTTTTAGAATCAGGGTTCTTGGACTGGCAGCACTTAAGTCTAATGGACAACTTGGGAATGACCGTGTGCAGTGATGCAGTCGGGATTCTTGAAGTAACTTAACACACATGTCATTGTGTGCCTGGGCATATTGTTGATCAATGTTAGAAGTCTCTTAAAGGCCCGCAGCCGTTGTAGGAAAGCAATTGCTCTAGTGGTCTTTGATGACGTGAATGCACGATTAAAACAGTACACTTAAAATCTGGATGGGTCTCTCCTGTCATGAGGGTGTGTCAGAGACCCTATGTTCTTCATTTGATTAGGTCGTTAGTATCCTGCATCCAGTGGTACTGTGAAGCACAGAGGTTTTATAGAATGTTTTTGTGTTTTAAATAACTTGGTGAGGGTGGGGAGAAATTAGGATCTTTTGTATACTATGGTGGGATAGCACGATGGTACTACTACTACTTTGGAAAATTTTAAATAAGGAATTAGATGTTTAATAATTCCACATCTGGGTTTATGGCCAAAAGCCTGAAAGCAGATTCTCACAGAGAGATTTGTACACCCATGTTCTTGGCATTTACAACATCTGAGAAGTGGAAACAACTCACGTCCAGCAGATGAGTGGCTAAATGAATGTCTGCGTGTACAGTATTCTCCTCCAGAGGGGAAGGTCATGGGCTGCGTGGCTGGAGCACGCGATGCTGGGGGCTGGGGGAGGGGTCAGGCCCGGGAAGACCCGCTGCAAGATTCTGCTTCCAGGTGGTGTCCAGCGTCAGTGTCGCAGTAGCCATACGATGGGCCCCTCCCTGGGGGCATAACTAGGAAGCTGGCTGCAACCTCTTTAGCAGGAGTTCCATCCCTGGCCAGGGGAGGGGAGCAGCGGAGCCCACGTGATGGAGCAGGCTTCTGTCTCCCCGCGCCCCCCTCAGCAGTGCACTTGGTCAGTCTGCCTGTTCTGCCCCCCACTCTGTCTCTGGTGAATCCTCTCACCCCCGCCCCCACACCTCTGGCCTGTACTACCCCAGTTCTGTCTGCATAAATAAAAAAGGTTGAGAGTAGTGGCTGGGAACAGACTCTGCCTCAGCTAGAAACATTGAGATGGTAAATAGTTTCTGGCATCAAAATTTACCTGTATCTATAAATCCCTTCAAAATATGGCTGGGTTCCAAAGTGGTACTTTATAACCTATTATGTTAATGTGTGGGATTTACAGTTACTAAAGAACGTATTTTGGAATTTAGGACTGGAAGCATAAAACCTAAGTACTATTAGTGCATTCTCCTTCCTTTATCAGTAGACATCATCTGATCTTGATAGATAGACATTTATGGTATTTGCTTTTCCATAAAGGTAACTCCTTTTCATGGAAATAGCTTTGGTATTAAAACTTTGGATCTGATGATTGCCAGAGGCCTGCATGGAATTAATGGCTACTCTTGAGAGATACAGGCAGCACAGATTGTCTCTGAAATGCAATTAGGGCCTCCCTCATGGCACAGGGGTTAAAAACAACAGCACTATCAAGCTATCATCTGTCAGTCACTGTAACTTGAGTTTGATCCCCAGCTGACCCACATGGTGCAGCAGACCTCTCCTGTCTCCCTGCTGCTCCCTTCAGCAATATATTTCTATAGACCTGCCAGTTCTGCTCCCCACTATGTCTTTCACCTACCCACCCAACCCCCCCAACCTCTGGCCTGCACCTCAGTTCTTGTTTGCATAAATAAATAAACCTTTTTAAAAAAAATTGAGACTTGAATTTTTCAACATCAGGGAGACTTGGGTTAAAAAATTATTTTTATAAAAAAATTATTTAAGAATAATGAACAGCCATATACCAGAGACATTTTGTGGAGGTGGAGTGGGGAATGGGATAAAAAATGGGTGGGAGGGGGTGAGGAGGGAAGTGCACAGGACTATGGTGATGGCACATGGGTGACTTGGTGATGGGAAACCCGTGGGGATTACAATTGAGATGAAAAAAAAATGTACAAAATGATGTAAAAATAAACTTATTAAAAAAAAGGAAAAAAAAGTATCCTATTCTCTTTTACACAAAAATAATGTCCATTATCATCATCATAATGACCACCATGTTTTAGTACTAGAGTTAGGACTATTTTATTTTTTTTATAAAGATTTATTTTTTTATTTGTACATACAGAACTGGGGTACAGGCCAGAGGCTCAGGGGCAGCAAGAGGCTTCACCAGAGACAGAGTGGGGAGCAGAACAGGCCAACTGACTAAGTACACTGCTGAGGGGAGCAGCGGGCGGGTCAGGAGAGGTCTGCCGTGCCATGTGGTCATCTCCGGGGCAGGCAGGAATTGGACTCATGCAGAAGTGGCTTTAGCTTCTCAGTGCAGTGCTTTAACCCGCTGCACCACCAGGGAGGGCCCTATTTTATTTTTTAAACTAGTCATATTATCTCCTAAGCACGGTTCTAATAAAATTATTTTAAATAATTAAAAAAAAAGTTCCTTTGCCAACAACTTAAATGAAATTACCAGTAAGTAGCAATAGGAAGAAATCAATGCAGTTTTCACTGCAATGAGAATAAGCAATATATCAAGTTGTGATTCAATAAATGTGGATAACCATTAAAAAAAAATGACTTTTAATTCTACCTCGGGGTTAGTTTCAAAATGTCCATTGTCACCATTAGGTAATAAGGAGCATTTGTGGATATTTTAAGTGGTGGCCATAAACCTAAGTAAACTTGTTCCTTTTATATAGTGGATCTCGTTTTCATGCAGATTCATACACATTCAACACGTGAGATGTGTGTTTATCTCAAAGTAGTCCCATACCGGCCCTCTCCCAAATGCTGGTTCTTTGGAAGTCGCTTTTGGTCACCGTTCATCAGCCGCACTAGTAACGTCACCACCGCCAGCATCACACTGCTGTGTTACCCACCTCATCCCACCTCTGTGCACCAAATAGCTCTTGGTAGTTTCCCCAACTCTGGTTAGGTTGCCACATAGTGCTCTCACTACTCACAAACACCCAGGAGAATGTGACTTTCCAAAGGAGAAGGTTCTGGATGTGTGAGTGGGGGCAGCCGCCAGGCGTCTCGGGGACCTGGCTGGGACCTGGCGTGATTGCACATGTGATTGCACACGGTGGGAATGGCTGGGGCCGGTGTCCTGCTGTGAGACTTGACGGAAAAGCTCTTAACAGTGGTGTTTGTAACGGGAGTGTGAAGGCAGGCAGCTTTTTCAGGTGATATTTTTGTATCTAGATTTAAAGGAAGGTCCAAATGAAGCTGTTGGAAAATGCCAAATCCTTATTTTTAAAATTTGTTACATTTTTTAAAATTGATTTATGCATACAAGGAAAGAGGGGTGGAGGGGGGTTGGGGGGGTGGAGGGGTTGAGAGGATTCACCAGAGTCAGTGTGGGGAACAGAACAGTGTGGGGAACAGCTAGAAACTGTCTCCTGGGGAGACAGGAGAGGTCTGCTGCATCATGTGAGTCAGCTCACTGGCTGGGGATTGAACTCAAGCCACAGTGGCTGGCGATAGCTTCATAGTGCTGAGACTTAACCCCTGCGCCACCAGGGAGGCCTGACTGCTATTTCTTACTGGAGCAATTTTAGAATGTTTCCGTTGACCATTATGTTCCATAAGACAGTAGTCATCTTTTCGTTTTCTTCAGTCCTCCCCCCGCCACACACAACACACATATATTTCAGCTACTAGTGTATTTACTAACTAGGACTACGTCAACACTGATCACAGGTATATATTCAGATTGTTTCCTTTCTTGAAATTTTCTTTTTTTCCTAGAGTCAGTTGTCTGATTGGTCTCTGTTTGGTTTTATATACTTGTCACTAATATTAACCACACACAGCAACAGATGCAAAACCAGCTTGCAAAACCACTCTTCAGCATTCTGCCCAGCAAGCCCAGCCTTTCACCCCACCCGCCTGCCTCTCTGCTGTCGGCACCCGGGCACCCCGTTCTTGGGGCCCGTGTGTGTGACCTTGTCTTTTTGTATTTTCTCATTTTTGTTACAGCACGGCCTCCGCTACCCTTCCAGAAAGCCCAGGGATAATCTCATCTCTGGACCTTTGTATACGACCTACTTTTGACTTTTGTGCATTAAATGTTTCAAATTTTGTTGCTATAACATAGACTGTTCACCTGTTTCAAGTCCAAGAGAGATTTTAGTATTTTTTTTTTAAGATTTATTTTTTTATTTGTGCATACAGAACTGGGGTACAGGCCAGAGGCTCAGGGGCGGTGAGAGGCTTCACCAGAGACAGAGTGGGGAACAGAACAGGCAGATCGACGAAGTACACTGCTGAGGGGAGCAGCGGGCGGGTCAGGAGAGGTCTGCCACACCATGTGGTCACCTCCGGGGCAGGCGGGGATCGAACTCATGCGGAAGTGGCTTTAGATTCTCAGTGCTGTGCTTTAACCCGCTGCGCCACCAGGGAGGGCCGATTTTAGTATTTTTATGGATTCATGCAACCATCTCCCTAATCTAATGGTAGAACTTCTCTTCACCCCCAGATGAAAGTCTGTATCCGTCAACTCTCCATTTTCCCTTCGCATGACAACTTCGAGGCTCTGGAGATGTTAATGTCTACTGTTTTACTTTATTACTGGAACCAGATGATATGCTTTTCTAGGACACCAGACTGCTGGCCTCTGGGCGGGGGAGGGAAGGCCCTCACAATTCTGGACGCAGACTCTCCTCTCCTGTGACAGCTGGGGCTCCGTCTGCACCCTCAGCTCTTAGCCAGTGCGCCCCAAGCCCACAGTCTTCCCACACCCAGCCCAGGAAGCCAGCTCTTCCCCCAACAGCTCTGACCTCCCACTGGGGTGGGAGTGCCTGCGGCCTCTTCAGAGGCTTTTATCCTTCCCGGTTTGCAGCCCCGAGGCTCTGCTGTCCAAAGCCTGTGCCTTTTGCACTGGGAGCTCATCTGCGGCTCTGCAGGCAGCCGGCCTCTCCTCAGCGCCCTGCCCTGGCAGCCTGCGCTGGGGTGGTAGCTGCTTCCTCCAGTTAAACCATCCATCTGCTTCTCCATCTGCCTTCAGATTGATTGAACTCTCTTCTGTGCACACCTCCTTCCCCTACACCTTGTCCAGGTGGGCTTCTGGCTTATTATAGAAACAGATCTGGTTGCGCCACTGTGGTGGAGTTTGGGGAGAGAGGAGATAAGCATTTCTTCTCTCCATTCAGCAGCACACTCTTGTTGAGTGCTCCTGGCGTGACAGGCCCTCTCCCGGTGCACGCCATGTCAGGTGACTGGGAGGACAGGCCGCTGGCACCGGCAGCACACACAGGTAAGTGACAGCGGGCGGGAAAGTGAAGCAGAAACCCAGGGCCGGGGGTCAGGGCTCAGGGCCTGGGGGGGGGGGCATGGGAAATGGGAAACACCAACGAGTGACATTTCGATAAAATGAAGACGCTGCAGCTTGGCCTGCACAGAGCCCAGGAGAGGTGAGTGCAGAGGCTGGGGTGAGGGAGGCGCAGATGGAGGCAGCGGAGGCCTGACCAGGGGTGGCCCTGCTGTTCTCCGCAGGGTCTTGGGCTTGATCTTGGGGCATTGTGGGGAGCTGCTGCAGCTCTGAGTTGAGGGTGGACATGGGGGCTCCCCTCTGGCTGCTGTGGGAGACTGGGAGGCGCTTGTTGCTAGAGCCAGGTGTAGAGGTGGCTTGGATGAGGCCAGGGTGGTGGAGGCGGGGCTGCAGCCAGAGTGGGCTTCTGGGTTCATTCTGGAGCAGGACGCGTGGCAGGTTTAGAAGTGAAGGGTGAGACATTACTCAAGATAACTGGTCTGAACAACTGAAGCTGTGTGGCTGCTAATGGAGATGGAAGTGCGCGTGGAGGCTGTGTTCAGGAGAGACGCTACAGGCTTTGAGAGGCTTTTACGGGAAGGCGAGCCTGGGTCCAGGCTGGAGAGAGACTGTGGGAGTGTGTGGTGTAAAACTGGCCCCTAACATGCCAGTGCAGGGTCATAGGCTGTAACTCATGGATGTTCGAGTGGGGAAAGGTGATCTTGGGGGAGGCTGTGGGGGCTCAGGAACAGGGGTCCCTGGGAATGTGATGCTTTCTGGGCATGAACTTTGTGGAACTGAAACTATAGAACACAGTCTTTTTTTTTTTTTCCCCAAAGATTTATTTATTTGTGCATACAGAGCTGGGGTACAGGCCAGAGGTGTGGGGCAGTGAGAGGATTCACCAGAGACAGAGTGGGGAGTAGGCAAGCTGATCGACAAAATACACTGCTGAGGGGAGCAGCGGGCTGGTCAGGAGAGGTCTGCCCCGGCGTGTGGGTCACCTCCGGGGCAGGTGGGAATCGAACTGGTGCTGAAGTGGCGTTAGCTTCTCGGTGCTCTGTTTTAACCTGCTGCGCCACGGAGGAGGGACCCCACAGTCTGTTCTAATGGTATGAAAAGGTGTAAAGCCACCAGACTTGATGAGCTGGTCAAGGGATCAGTGTGCCGGAGACGCAAAGGTGAGGTGAGTGTGTGGCCAGGAGAAGCAGTGGGAGCTGCAGCAGCAGGACCCGAGAGGGTGGCAGACGAGGTCGCCGGAAGAAGGTTCTCTAAGAGGGCGGAAGAGGTCCAGGGCGGACTGACAGTGGCCAAGGGAGAGGGCGGGAGGGCAGGGGCGGGTGCCCAGCGCAGCCGGTGAGGGGAGAGGGACGCAGGGACCCGGAGGGTTTCAGCCAGTTCATCTGAGGCACAAAGCTGAGAAGTACTGAGGTGAAATGGAGCGGTGGAATTCTGTTTCGGTCAAGTTTGGGGAAATGCAAATGCGGCTGCTTGCTGATAGGACCTGCGGAGGAGCGGGAATCCCTATTAGAACTGCAAACAGACAGGAAACTCTTTCCTTTCGATCCACGATCACGATCCACACGTTCGGGGGGAGGCACTCAGCACCGCACCCCAGGCGAGCAGCGGGCCTCAGGGCTGCAGTCCGCAGCCTCCAGTGCTGGCCCCCAAGGCTGCCTCCAGCTTGAAATGCAAGGGAGATCAAAGATGGGAAAAGCAGGCAGTGTCTGCTTGCGCCTTTCCTGGGAAAATAAGAGTTTAAAGAACTCAAAGTGAGTCTTGTAAAAATGTGGGCTCAAATATTTGTAGGTTAAAGCCAGTAGTGACTTTGACTAGCTGGCAGCTACTGATTCCTTTCCGCACCCCGGCACCCTCCCTCCCTACCCCTGACACATACATTTAAAAGCAAGCACTCTGCAGAAATCTTGCAAAACAGGAAACCTAATAATGAAAACTTAAGTCACCCATAGTCCCGTCATCTAGAGAGAAACACTGATAACATTTTGGGTAATGCTTTTCTATAATTTTCTCTATAAAGCAACTGCATTCCCTCTCCGGTGGAAATTTTCTCTACAGTTGTTTCTGTTTTTTTTTCCCCCCAATGAAGACATCATCCTAAGTATATTCCTCCATCACCATAAATATTCCTTGTTCACTTCCTACAACTGTTAAATATTACATCCTAGGAATTAGTCAGTCCATGAATGGGCACTTATAGCTTCCATAAATAGCACTATAACAAGTGTTCTTATGTTCAACTTTGCTCAGAAATCTGCATCTTTTTTTTTCTTTTTTGGCATAAATTACCAGCCGTAAAATTATACACTGGTCCATGGGGTGTCAATATTTTGAAAACTCTTATACATGTTGCCAAATAAGCATCTTGACACTCTGCCCCCTCCTTGCCTCCCAATTTCCATGGTGTGTCAGCTGCTTGAAGCTGTTAGTCATCCTGCCAGCTTCCTATATTTTTTTTTTAATATTGCTTTTCACTGCTTACAGCCTGAAGTTTATTATCTATGAAAGCTGCACTTTCATAGATAATGAAGTAGGGGGAGTAAGAGGAGCTCAGATTGCTGCAGATTGGTGTGCCTAGGCTGCCACAGACTCCAGAACACAGCCTCCTCTCTCCTCCCTCCTCCCTCCACTGGGCTGAGGCTGCGTTTGAGGACACACAGCTGAGGTCCACTCCACGGCCAGAACCAAACTGGTGCCCAGGCCTCTGGACTCCCAGCCAGCTCCTTATCTACTGACTTTCACTCAGCCTCACCTGCCTCGGATGGCCTGAAAAATTCTAAGAAACTCTAAAACATATTTTAAGAGACTATGCCCAGCCCACCAAGGTCTTCAAGGGTCTGAGTAAAATAACAAGCACTGGACCATAAAGTCACTCATCACAGAAATCCTGCAGGTCTGGCTGGAAGATGCCCTGGGCGCCGGCGCCGGCCCCTGCTTGGTCTGAATGAAAGTTGTTGCAGCAAAGTGAGACAAAGCAGCAGGCACAGCTGCCAAGCTGGCTGTTGTGTTTCCTTTGTGGGTTTTAGGAACTGTAAGGCCCGATGCTTTGGTCTCCTACACAGTGCATGCTGAAAACGGGACCTTTTTAGACACTCGAAACAGGTATAGCAATGTGAGCATAGTCTTTTTTTTTTTTATTTTTTAAGATTTATTTGTGCATACAGAACTGGGGTACAGGCCAGAGGCTCAGGGGTGGTGAGAGGCTTCACCAGAGACAGAGTGAGGAGCAGAACAGGCAGATGGACGAAGCACACTGCTGAGGGGAGCAGCCGGCGGGCCAGGAGAGGTCTGCCGCACCATGTGGTCATCTCCGGGGCAGGCGGGAATCGAACTCCTGCGGAAGTGGCTTTAGCTTCTTAGTGCTGTGCTTTAACCTGCTGTGCCACCAGGGAGGGCCTTGAGCATAGTCTTTTAATGTCCTAAAAGAAAAAAAAAAACGGCGTGCCTTACGTCTTAACCACGGGCTTTTATTTTTGTACTTAACTGTGTGTTTTGCTAACAGGACAGTGCAAGCATTTCAAGCTTCTCTATTTCCTTTTATTTCAGAAAGGCCTGGCCACCTTAGCTGGGGGTGGGGAGTCAGAAGCTGGTCCTAGGCCAGGCCAAGGTTTTCTGGGACTCTGGGCGGTGGCCCTGGCATCCAGAATAACGTGACCGTTAGCGGGCCTAACTTACTCTTGGCGCCAGGCAATTCCCATCTTCTGCGCTGGGAATCCTGCGACTGGGTCTGGGAGTTTCTCTGATGAGCTGCAGGCCGGCATCCCCTGGTTCTGAGAAAGTGACTGGGTATGGGCGATGACTCCGCCAGAGTTTCTAGGTCTTTACAGAGGGGAAAGTCCTGCCTGCCCTGGAGGAAGCACAGCTCCATCCCACACGGGAGTGGAAGGGCCCCCCCACCCTCCGCCTACCCCCAGGAGGCCATGGACCCAGAGGTGTTTTTCAGACTGGCACTTCTCACTTCCCTTTCCCTGGTCACCAAGGTCTCCTCAAGTTGCAACTGAAATCCCTGTAGCTGGAAAAATCTCTCCCTACAGCAGAGGGGGAGAGTGCTTAGAAATCCTTTGAGAGGGGAAGAACTGGGCGAGGAGCACCCACAAGAGGCTGCGGATGGGGTGCAATTGGGACTGAGGGGCGGGGAGAAGGAGGGAAAAATTAGCAGAAGATATGAAGGAAAGTGCTGACTAGTGAAAACACGGCAAAGGATGGGAGGGGGGCTGGCAACTGGGGAACAGTGGAGAAAAATAACAATTAGCACAGCTAAAAATAAAGACCAATTTAGAGACAAAACCAGATACACAAGGAGAAAAATAAGACTCGCCAGAAAGACAATTCCTCGCAAACCAATTGCTCAAGAAAATGGGGCTGATACCCCCTTGGGCTGCTTTTCAGAAGAAAGGAGACAATAGAGCGGCCACGCGGCTCTGAGCAGGTGACTGGTGGGAGAGGAGCAGGCTCCACGAGAGCCGCGTGACCCGAGTGGTTCTGAGCGGCCCGCGCCAAGGCCTGCCAGAAGGTGCGCCACGTGTCCCCAAAGTTGGAGACGTGTCCCCGAACAGCCAGGGCGCGGGCAGGGGCAGTTCCCCGCGCAGGAACCCCAAGGGTTGCTGCAGAGCTCCCCCCAGGTGCGCCCACGGAGCCTCCTGGCCCAAGCAGCAGGCGCCCGCCCGCC